ACATATATATACATACAATATTTACGTATATTCATATATATATAGCTATGTTTAATATTAGCAGTAGTTGTAATGCGAAATATAATAATATTAAATTATTAACAAATTACATGAGGTTTATTTTCTGTGACAGAACCAGTATATACTTTTGGAAACTGAGAAAGAGAGTTCTAGTGCAGAAATAACAAACAAACTTATAGTGTTTGCAAAGAAGAATGGGACAAACAATTTAAACGTTTCGTCTCTTAGTTCGAATTCTTTTTAATCCGATAAGAAACGTATCAGTATGAAGATGGTAAGTTCTGATTCCTTCTCCACAGTCAATTGAATAATTTCGATTTCTGGTAATCGAGTTAAGTATATAAAATCCAAAGATCCAAACGCAATGCATTAAGAAAAGTCTGAAATCAGCATTCAACTTTAACTACATTAAGAAAAAAAATTCTTAACTTGATTAAATGTGTTCGTAATGATTATTTAGTTTAAATATTTATATATTTAAGTAAAAAAATCTTAAAATTTAAAACATATTATTTGTCTAAATTAACAAATGTTTGCTTAAGCTCATGACTACCGCTGCATTTAGTTCAATCAATTAATACTTATCGATTCGACAACTTTTTCTTAGCTCATTCTGGAGCTTAACGCAATGCCTTTGGATCTTTGTGTGGATTCAAAAATGAGGATTTCTTTAATTCTTTGTTTTTAAATTTATTTTTATTTTGTATAGGTAATATGGCACAGAGAAATGAATATAACTGCAATAATATCGAAAAAATGCAAAAAATATTACTTTTATCTAACCAAAAAATGACAAAAAAAAACTATTGCTTTTATAGCTACTGCGGGAAGTCGGTACGCGAGAACCACAGATTGACAATGTGCAGTGAATGCATAAAATGAAAACTTTAATTTTTTATAATTTTTGACCATTTATATTTTTTTTCATTAATAAATAATCATTTTAGCAATTAACAATGAATTAAAATTGTTTATTATTTAAAAAATATTATTTGTCTCGCGGCCTTTCTCGTGTTACCAGATAATTCAGACATGAGACAAAGATGAACAATTAAATGACTTCTTATAACGTACCTAATAATGCGTAATCGTGTATTATATGATAATGGTGTACACTATCCCTGATTTCTGATTTAATCAATCAAATCGCGGTCATAACATTGACGGCCATCGACCGCCTTGAAGGGGTACTGTGCGGGTGTATTGTACCCATTATACACTCACTATATAAAAATGACACTGATTAGACATATTCAAAGTTCAAACATATATCAATATTTATATTCCGTCAAAGAATAATACATCTGTGTTTGACCTTCTATAACAGTTTCTGCTTTTTCATACCGTTTCTATACTTTCTGTGGTTC